CTCCATTAGAAAAGATTACAAATTTTAGAAATACTTAAACATTTTATCTTCATAAAAAAAATTCTTGCAGGAACTAAGACAAATGTCAAAATGAAAAAAAATCTTTCTGAAAGATTTTTGATTTTAATTCTTTTAGTTTTAAGTTATGCAGAAAAACCTCAAATAAAATTGCCCAAGTAATGACTACTTGATTTTCTTTCTAGTAGCTACATAAAGTCCAATTGTTTTTTTGTTTTTTTTTTTTTACAAAGATTAAAAAACCCCAAAGAAATTAAAAATATTATAGCTGATGCCTACAACAAAAAGAATCTTTGGTAGAGAATATCAGGATATTTTAAAAAGAAAAAAAGATAAAAATTATTTTTATTTTACGGTGGTGAATGCTGTGTAGGGGGTAGAGATGAAATGAGAGAATACCACCACCTTAAAAAAAAAAAAAAAAAAAAAAAAAAAAAAGTCAGCTATATAAAAAGCCAAAACACCAGATTGTGACCTGAAGATTGATAAATTCATGATCAAACTGACACAAGATGAGAAAGACAAAGAAAGAGTAATTTAATAAGTTTTACTTTTACTGTACATACGTTATTGGAAAATCTGCCTACGTAGCAAATAACTGACCATTAATAAAAGGAGGGCAGAGCCAGAGACCATATATCAAGTTAGATTGCTAGAGAAACCTGTATACCATAAAAAGTGCTGTTGCTAGACCTCCACAACCAACAGAAAGAGAAAAGAAGGAGAAAAAAAAAAAAAAAAAGAGAGAGAGAATATGTTTACCACATCATCGTCATTAACATAGCATTTGAGTGCAGGCAGTCATTTTAAAACCACGTTTTTCATGAGGATAAATGCGTGGAAATCGTATAAAATAAATATGACCAATACAACGGATGTGCGGCTAAGTAAAAAAAAAATATAAATAAATAAATAAATAAATAAAAAGAGAAAGATGGATAGGCTTAGAGCCTGAGAGACATCTACTTTCATGACCATTTTTAAAAGCTAACAAATAAAAAAAAAGAAGCCAGGGGGGACAACAACAATAGCATCATTCTTCCGACATCAATTTATTTCGACACCAAAGTGAAAGTAACTAAAAATCTTTTTCTTCCTGTAGTTACATCTCGATCATAATCACACACTCCTTTACCTCATCCTGCACCATCATCATCATTTATTCGCAACGTTAAAAAAAAAAAAAAAAAAAAAAAATCAAGATAATAAAAAATCTTCAGGCCACCCACCGTTATGCGTGTTCCACTTCAAACACAAAGTTTGAAACATTCATCTCGTAATAAGTGACCTGTCTATTTTAACGGTTAGAGAGCATTTACTACTGACTGATCATAATGCCCGATACAAAAAGAATGACAAATTCAGGAACAAGTATTTGGCGACGTGGATATCTATATGGGTCATTTTGTGTCAAGCAAGAAGAATCATTACGAGTATTTTTAAATTTTATTGATGATCAAATAAAATATGTAATTTTCATTGTTTTACAGTGTAACAATACAGACAATAAAAGATTACCGAAGCAGTAATTTTATTGTCTAATTTTTTATTTTTAAAGATGTAAGTTTTTTGGTCGTTTAAATGAACGAAAGGCTAGACGCCGATATCCTAAATTGCAAGAAAATATCAGTTGCAGGTGAAAAAAAAAACAAACAAACAAACAAAAATTCTACGTTGCAATGTTCAAATTAAAATTAACTGATCACTTTTTATAAACATATTTTTCAATATGTAATTGTTTGTTAGGTCATCAAACAAGAGTTCGTAAATAGTACTAAATAAAATAAATAATAGAAGCTATTTCAACCTGGACAACACTGAATAACCTTGCCAATTTTGTACTACTGCAGTGAAATGGAAAACGTGTTACTGTTGTAAGTTTTATCGAAGAAGTGTTTCCGCACCCAGAAAAACAACCTTCGATGTTTTTGATGAATGAAACTATCAAAACAAAACTAGATGCATTCATTTTTTTTATTATTATTTTCTTTTTTTATGCAGATTAAGTTACAAAGGCAAGTGTCTGAAATTGGACGTGTGTGTGTCGCTCGATTTTGCACACCGGTGAGAAGAAGAGAAGCAGCCATTTCTGAAAGGACTGGAGTGCAACCTAACAAGACAAGACTAATTCGTATTTTTATAATTTACAGAAGACTTCTTGCTCCGCCAGAGAGATCTGCCACGCTCACCCACCGCACTCATACCAAAACAAAACATCAATCACAAGTTATCCCTTACTATTTCCATATTATCAATAATAATAACTATTTTAAAAAGTGTAGAGTCGGGTGGCTCTTCGTTAAAGAACAAAAAGCAGACACGTTTTGTTATGCTCAAAAGATTTTTTTTTACACGTTCACTCACTCACAGGTGTTGCCAGACATTTTTTAGATATCTATTTCGCTTTATGAGTTTTGAGAGAAAAAAAAAAGGAAAGACACACACACAGTATCAGGTCATGAACCTTTCTTAGTCTAATTCCATAATGTTTAATTTCGAAATAATACGAAAACTACAGATATCCATATCAAAAGAAGACAGTAGCCGTAGTAGTTGGAAGGGTAAATAATGAGAGGAGACCTTACAAACCAACCAATTATTACCTATGTAGAGTACAACCAAAAACTGCCAACTACTACAATACATTTTTACCAGCACTGTAAACACGATGACAATAGATTTTTAAATAGAATGAACAGGGAATAAATAATCGTTGTTAATAAAAAATGAATACAGTGAAGAGGACTCGACGTGATTCAAGTTAAATAAAATAAAAATGAACAGTATGAAAATGAGGGTGGGGTAGTAAAAATAAAATCATTTCTCAGATACGACTTTTAGGCCCCATTTAAAACTTCAAATAGCATTTATTCTTTTCCAAGTCGTGCAGTACAAATATTTAAAAAAAAAAAAAAAAAAAAAAAAAATCAAACATGAAATAGCAGAAAATGAGTTTGAAAAACTCGCTTACGAATAGGCTATTTTTGTTGCCTCACTTCAGTACCATTTACGATAAGGTGGTCACGTGACCAAACATAATCTGCAACCTAGCATTTAAATGCTAATTTCTCTGGAGATGGTCAAAAGACCAATTTTTTTTTTTTTAATCACCCATAAAAAAAAAAAAACAGAAGTCTCCTAAAAAGTTTTCAATAACGGAAAAAAAAAAAAAAATTAGTTTGAAAAATCTTAACTCAATTATTAAATGATCAAGTTAAGGGCACCACGAAGAGTAACTAAAGTTGACCCCCTGACCTTTTATAAATAAAGAAATTAAATAAAATTAAGAAAAAAAAAAAAAAAAAATTCTCCTTGGGAATAATTAAGCACGTGAAATATAATAGTAATACTCAGGATGAATTTTTTGTAGGGAAAATGATATTTGAACGTTTTTAAATAGAAGAGCCAGAGAGTTTCTGTTATTCGCACTCTTCCGAAACAGATTTTTTTTTAAAAAAACTAAAGGAAACTTGGTTGTTTTTTATTAAAGTAAAAAAAATTATAATGATGATATCGGTAGTTTGCTTGCAAGCTTTTAAAAACAGCAAGATACAAGATGACTAGTGTGTAAAAATAAATGGTTGGTCAAGAAGAGTCAAGACGGTGAGGAAAGATTCTAAAATTTCTAAAAAAATGTTTTTTTCAAAAAAATAAAAAAGGCTTCATATTTTAATTTTATTAAGCTTTAAAAAAAATCAACACATGTTTTGCTTAGGGAACCGTGTTTTTTTAGACATGCTTAATTTTAATTATATTTTTTTTAAATTGTCAATATTTTGATAATTTTTAGTTTTAAATTAAAAATATGATTTCAGTTTAAAATTTTAATGGAATCATAAATTTAAAAAATCTCTTAAAAAGGTATCAAAAATTTATTATAATTTGTGAAAAAAAATGTAAAGTTTATCTCTAGTCTTTATTGGGAGGGGACAGTAATGGTTAATTAATAATAATTTTAAAAAAAATAATCTTTAAAATTAACTTGAGCTTTGTAAAAAGTTAAAAATGAAGTAGAAAAATATCTGTTTTTGTAAACAAATGAATGAAGCTTAAAGTGGCTTATTAGATTTTTTTATAAAAGAACATAAATTGATCTGAAGCAAAAAACAAATATCAATAATTTTTTTTTTTTTACAAGCATTTGCTAGAGAATTACCAGGGTTAGTTAGAGATGCAACTTTGAAAAGCAACAACTACACACAAAAATGTGAATTATTAACACAATACAATAATAATGCAAGTCATTGAATGTAAAAATCATACACTAATAATGATTATTCGAGGATTTTCAAGAAAGAAAAAAAATCCGATTCCAATGGGATAAATAACGACCCGTAGTGAAATGCAACATTTAAGTGCATTTTTTTTTTTAATAATGCCAATGGCAATGAGAAGCTAAGTTCAAAATTAAAACTAAAACAGTTGTTGAACTACAAATTGCTGTCACTAGTAACATTACTAATGATCAAGACTTAGTCGTGTAAGGTAGGAGTTATAATATTTTATCAAAGGAGTTCTTCTTGGGTCTTAAAAAAAAAGGAAAGAAACTTGAAGACTCTTTTATTTTAATATTTTTGCAAACAAAGAAAACCTAGATAGCTTCTTAAAACGCGATCGTCTAAAAAAAAGAAAAAAAATGCAATGCTTGTAGTAAATAAATAAAAAATTATCTTTTATTATCTCCATATAAAACGGCAAGAAAAGGAGGAAATAAAAAATCTCAACTAAAAGTAAGAGAGGAACAAATCATGCACCACAGAGGTATACACACACTGTATTATACGCATATACGTTATGAAAAAAAAATAAAGTTGGGGTCCACTTAATAATTATCGACTTATTACGTATTGATCCCCCAATTTCTGGCCACCCTGCCCGTATGTCTGGGTTTGTCGGCTTCCGGGAGAAGTGATCTCAAGCAAGCCCAACCAACTTCTACCGGACATTTTTACGAATGTCAAAGATAGATTAAAGATAAATACCTTGAATTATAGACATAGCTGTAGGCCTGAATACTGCCTATGTATAGCACAGTTTCTGTTTAACTGGGCACATTATCATCGTCGTCGTCGTATACGCCACCGATAACATTAGTTGAAGCAAGGGAGGAAAATGGCGAGCCGACTGGTTAAACAATTTTCAAGTACCTTACTTACGGAAGGCCATCAGTTATACAAATTTCACTTTTCACCAACTGTTCTCCATGACCAAAATATAATTAATACGTACCTTTTTATTAATTCTAGTTTAGACGTCCGATTTGTAATGAATTTTTATTCATCTGATATTCCGAAACTATTGTCGATAGCTCAAATTGTCAATCGTGTCTATCCATAGTGAAAAGGTAGCGACTATATTGTGATCGTTATGTGCTACTGTACACGGATTCCTACCTTTCTATTTAAACTTCCGGTGCTTATTCGACATCAATGGAGTGTAGAGATACGGTGTGTATTTGTAAATAGATCCCTAAATAATATAACTCGAATCAATAGATATCTCCTTTCGCTTTGGTAGCTTGCAGGTTACTTTGCAGAAGCAGTTGCTTTCAGCAATGTTTTTTTGGCTTTGTTCCTTAATGGAAATTGACAAGACGAAGTTAAGACTTTTCGAATGTATAATAATGGCGATCCCGCTTAAAGGGACATCACCCTCAGCACATGGGAAAAAGAGTTCAGGAACTCTGATAAAACGAATAAATAAAACTGTTTTATTTTTAGTATCATGCACTCTTCATTTACGATTAACCTCTATCTTTGTGCTCAAATATGAAAATCACCTGTCATTTTATTTTCTTTACCCTCACTAATATTTCTTATTTATTTTTTTAAAGTAAATAAAAAACCTATGGCTGACAGAAAAAAAATAAATTTTTTTTTCTTTGTTGGAATTGTTTGCCATGCCATTTTCTTGTAATGTAATATTCAAGCGGAAATTTCTCTTGTGAAACAGAAACTGAGAAAATGCAATGAAAAGTTTTTTTTTTATTAATAAAGTGTCCGAGTGGATTGTTTTCCATTGTTGGGACTTTTAATTATTTTGACAAGAGAAAGTCATAGTCAAGTAAAAAATAAAAATAAAATCGTGATCACGTACTGTTAAAAAATTGGTTTGCTTTGTTAATTGTGCTTTTTAGTGTTTATAAATGCGTTTCCTGGAAGCTCAAGTCATAACTGCTGTGTTGAGTGTTAATAATAATAATAAACGTTAAGATAAAATAATACACAACGCTTAGTCACTACATAAGCGTTGTTTTGACACAAGACCACAAAATATGGTACACAGTGAGGATCGAACTCACTAATAAATTGCTGGACTATTGTTAAAAACCATTGATTTATTTACTCGGCATAGCACAAAGAAGTATGGTATGGGCCACCCAGTGAAGAACAAACTCGTAATTAATAATGATGTGTGGAACCAACTTCTTGCTAAACTAGACGCCGAAAAAATTATTTAAATTAAATTTAATAAACAGAATGAACTCTCTGCTTCTTTTTTATTCCCTAGCGTCAGTAGTTTTTTACCTTTTAAAAACTGACGTTTTTTTTTTTTTCATATCTCTCTCTCTCTCTCTCTCTAAATAATTTTGGAAAGTGACAATTTCACTGAAATATGTTGGAAATTTTCCAAGTTTTCATTTGAAATCAAGAAAATACGAACTTTGAGCAAAGCAAAATGGTCAGAATATGAAGAAAGAGGAGGCATCAAATACTGACACTTAAGTTTTTAAAATCCAAATCCAAACCGAAAATAAAATTCATATATAGTTTTTCCTTGATCTCAAAACGAATTATTTTATTAAAAGATTGAAAAAGAAAGCATAAAGATTATTATTAAAATTTTGCATGACTTGTTTTCAGCCATGCGTTTTTTGTTTTTTTAAGAGTAAGTAAGGAATTGCAATTAATGAAAACATTTTTAACTTTTTATTCATTTAAATTTGAAGTTCTAATGAGAGCTAACTTTAAGTTCAGTATGTCAAACAAAAATGTATAATGAAAATAAAAGAATGCAGGTAAATAATATTGATAGACTAAGAAAGTTAAATACTTTTGTGTCCTTTTCTGAGCAACAATGTGCAAATAGCATGGGTGGCTGCTTCCATAACAAACAGTGAGTTAGGAAAAGTGTTTTGAATATTTGAAATTGAAAAGATTCAGCTTGAAAAACTAATTTTCTCCTGAATTTTTAAAATGAGGAATTAGCATTATCCTATAGAAGCTGATTCTAAAGCTCTCTGGTTCATACAACATTAGGGAACCATTTACATTGTCCTCATCTTTGTTGTCATATTTCACAACATTTCGGCCATTGTACGCTCCTGCCTTCTTCAGTCTGAATAATGTAAATAGTTACAATACCTCATCTCAGAAATATAGACAAACATTTGGGAAGTATTTAATAATAGTTCAATTAGGAGACATGTTCAAGAACTGTATATTCCATTCTATGCCATTGTGGCAGGGGATACAAAGTGTTATATCTGCACAAAAGTAAGACTGGAAAAACCTGGGGAAATTCAAAATCCAGTGGGAGAGATGATGAAGGAGAAAGAGTCACACCAACCAATCAGAATAATAGCTAACATAGGAAGATAAGATGATTAAAAGAGTCAGCACACATGTTAGGCTCTAATAACATCTTCAGGAGTCCTAGAATAGAAATGAACACCATGAAGGAGATTTTAGTTAAGAAAGAAAGGTCATAAGGCCTATAATGCAAAAATTCCACTAATTATACTGTTGCGGAGGTATTGGTTATTAGGAAAAATATGTATATATCAGAAGGTATTATTTGTGTTGGCTGCGGGAAAATAAACTTCTCCACAAACATTTAACTTTGGGTATAGCACAAGGCTATCAAATACAAAATATAAAACAACAATATGTTTTCTAGAAATAATAAAACATTTTTAAATCAATATACAAAACTGAAGAATGAATTTACTCAGGTAATTTAAACTGAGTGTATGCTAATATGTAGCGTTTATAATTAATAATATAGCAGGAGTTATTTACCTTTAACTTGAAATTCTTAAAGCCTTTTAAGAGAAAAATCTTTTTTATCTGGACTCGCAGAAAAAAGATTTCAGTTCATGAAATAAAGTTCAGTCTCAATGAAAGAAATGTTCTAAGTTGCTTTTTGTTTGGCAAACTATGTTCTTTGAGTAAAATTCTTGTCTCGATAGAAATTGTAGATGTAAAATTGAAGTGTAGTTTGATGGCGAGTGAGTGAATTTGAAGTTTGGGATTATGTTAGTAAATCTAACTTAGAAACTTCAAAGATTTGAATGGCGTGAATTTGTTTGGCAAATTGTTTAATGCTGCAAAGCTCACTCTTAGAAGTTGATAAGTGTCCTTGTAGCTAAAGGAATGAATAGATGAGTTCAAAGATGTGTAATGTTTATATGTATGTGTGTGTCTTCATAGCGTTTTCCCTTAAAAGGACAAACATAATTTCTCCACAGAGATCACATCTTGTATATGAGAGAAGGCAAAAGAGAAGAAGAGTTGAGGTTGTCACTAAATATTTATAATGTATGTTACATGATAGGCTCAAAACACATAGACAGGTTTTTGGTGGTAATTTAATTGTAACTGTGCAGACGTAGTGGAAAACATGATATTGGCATTAACTAACCAATCAGGAGTAAGACAAATATCAAGGCTCTGTGATCCACTTTTTTACAGATTTTGTCAATTGCAGTACTGTTATATAGGAAATGTATTGGAATCTTTTTTAAGCAATGGAATTAGATCACAAATAAAATATTATTAAATTGAAGTAGAACACTAAAATATTAGAGATACTGTAAAGTCATATACACTAGTTCAATAGTCTAAAGTCATAAACTCTACTTCCATATACTAAAATTCAGTAAAGTCATGTATTCTAATTCTGTGGTATAAAGTTGTTCTAGTTTAAAGAAGCAGACAATTTAATGTTAATAAGTAACCTTAAGAGACATTAATCTGAAGTGATCCCAAGATGTACTGGACTCACTTTTAATACATACCAAAGTAGATTATGAACTCAGTGTCACATGAAAGCATCAGAGAAGTCAGATGCATCAAAAGGTTGACCTGGAAGGTGACCTCATAGATAGCAGCTCTCGACAGCCAGTCTACCCTGTTGTACTTAGGATGTGCATACAACCAGATGATAAGAAGATATATAAACACCCCACCTGAGAGGGAAAAGACAAAAGGAGATCCACATTACATACACACTAAACAATTTTAATTGACAAAATCACTTAGTGCATGCAAATAATTTTATGTATGAAAGATTTAGTTTCATGTTCTTACTCATCTTTAGAATGATAGCATTACAAATGCTTGGCATTCAACCTCATCCAAAGGTTGAATTCTGATTTTGAATCTACTCATTTCAAATTATTCTGGTTTTTGATTTTAATGATTTTACCTCGAACAAGGAAATAAAGCTACTAAGATGTAAGGGGTTTTTGAAAATGAAGGAAGCTGAGAAAATGTTACTGAGAAGAATGGACAATAAAACAACAGGATTCAAAGACACATTATGATTGACATTCCATTTAAATTATCAAAGATTGTAGCTGAGAGGAAAGCAAGAAGCTGGAAGAGAGTCCCACAGGATAGAAGTGTGAGAAAAGTAACTATAAGAATAGAACTTATGGTTACATTTAGCAATTTCAACAGTAAAAAGAAGAGGCCTAGCTAACAATCTTAAATTCATCAAGTTGGGGTATCAAAGAGTAAAGGTCATTAAAACAATTACCATGAAAATATTACTAGAACAGGTACAGGGAAGCTATGCTATAACAGTGAGAAAGTGACTGAAGCCGAGATGCCAGGTCAGGACCAGTAGTATTGCAGATACTTCTTTGGATTTTGTCAAGAATCTCTTAGATACCTAGCATCTAATTGGTACTTGTAATAGCTGTATATTTATCATAGGAATTAGTGGCTGGTGTTCATGCTCCTCAAGTATATTGAATGCTAATTCTGATGACA